AAAGTAACTAAGAGTGAGATTTTACAAAAAGGTTTAGTTACTTTTATATCGTTATACTTATTGATGAAATTATTTTGTTCTATCAGATCCGTTCTGCTAACGACCCTCCGCCAAACAAGGAAGCGGTGGGTGAGAGTGGACACTCATTCAACCGTCATTTTATAGGCAGTTTCCTTATACCTCCCCCCTCCCCCTTACAGTTCAGCTTCGTGAATGAGGCATATACTAGCGATCTGACTAACTTAATCTTATACATATAGTAATTAACTTTTAATATAATATATATAAGGTGTATTTTAAAAACTTTTTAAAATAGTAGGTTTAAATTAAATTTTCGAAATTAAGGAATTAATTTAATTTAAAATAAACCAATTATGTTTTTAAACTTTATCTTTTAATTAATCAAATAATTAAATGTAATTAAAACATAAGGATAATTCACAAATTCAAGATAATGATATCTTATTACTAAAATAATTATTCAGTTTTATATACAAATAAAAACATTATCTAAAGTAATTATCCTAATCAATTTATCAATTAAGCAAAATATCGCTGATCAGAGGGTCCACCACGTCGTGGCGGACAATCGTCACGTCGTGGCGGAACGGGAAAAGGACGCGAATTCGAAGATCACCACGTCGTGGCAGAAGAATGCCACAATGTAGCGCCACAACAAAATGTCGATTCTGTTTCCTCCATTCGGGTTTTGTTCAAGTTCAAGCAATGTACATTCAAATGTTAGACAACCATACACTCTGATACCACTGATGGGTTTTACATGTATTAACGTGGATAAATCCTTATCATTTAAGGGTACATGCAACCTAAAGATCTAAGTCATAACACTATTGATGTAACATTCTATTTAACAACAAAAACCTAGAAAAACCCTAGGTATTTCGAAAATTAGAATAAAGTTTAGGCTTTACATACCTTGTTGATTGTTGTAGTAAAGAATCAAGAATCCTTTCTTTTTTGATTTGGAAGCTAGCACCACCAGTGTCGTGCATCTATGGTTCACACACAACCCTAGAAACAAGAAGGTTTTGAGAGAATAGATAGGATATGAAATTCGGTTATATAGGTGATCAAAGGATCTATAGATAAGATAGTTTCCTAAGATTTTGATCCCCATGGAGGGTTTATATAGGTGATCAAAGGATCTATAGATAAGATAGTTTCCTAAGATAAGCCCTAATCCCTTAACTTCCTCCCTAAGGTATCCAAGGCACCCTTAATGCCTAAGAAAACCCTAAAAGACTTCTAGAATTTTTCCACCCTCTTGGGAGGTTCTAGAATTTCTCAATGTTCAACTTTTGAACATTGTGACCTTTAGTCCTTCCATATTTAATTATTCCAATTAATCCCAAAATTAATGTTAATTAATTTATGATTAATTTATAATTAAATAATACTATTTCTAATTAATATATTATTTTCATAACATATTAATAAATTCATTTATTATTATTTAGTAATCATATAATAAATCAATAAATTATTCTCTCTATAAAAAAAATATTTTGTTCAATTACTAGGTTTGAGGGCAACCCAAAAGGACATTGCTAATAATTCAAGATTACACTAATTTAGTTATTGGCTTAGACACATAATCCAACACCCATAACTAGCTTTTCTCTTTACCATACGATCAAACAGTTTGATCTTGGACGACCCCTTTCCATTGGGAAGATAAATCTTTTATGGATCACCATTGTCAATGTCCATGGAAACCTAGGAATTAGACCTTATAAGCATCTCTGCTTCAGATATGCTCTTAAGCATTTCTGCTTCAGCAACAATCAACATTTGTATCATATCAACTACGGGCATGTCGATATTCCTCATATAAAAGTTCTTAATGAACTAATCATATGACTTTGGAATCAAGAGAGTAACCAAGTCAATGGCTTGCTCCCTTGGGAAAATGACACCCAATCTATCCAACTTGTCAATGTACGATTTCTTTTTCAGAACATGTGTACACATAAAGTTACCATCTTGATGTTTGCATACCAATAGAGATTGAGTAGTCTCGTATCTTTCAACTTGAGTAAATCGCGGCGTTAGGAGAGTCATGGGGGGAGGAGGTGGAAGAGATGATGTCTAGTTTCATCATTTCCTAAGAAAGGGAAAACAATTTCACATTGACTTGAAATGGGAAGACCATCTCTAGAAGATTGAGGGAAACTATTTTCTTAAGAACGAGGAAGACCATTTCTATCTTCATAATATATTTTAAAAATAGGAGAAAAAGAGAATTCAAGTTAGTTAATTTTAATCCTTAATTATTAACCCATAAATTTAAATTAAGGCTAGGATCCATATTTTCGATTCAAACTTTGAAGAGGGATGCCGTAATCAAATTCGAATCTATTTTAGGTAGGTAAGGCTTTTACCAATTCCAATCTTATAAAACTCCTAGATCTTTTTAAATTCATTGACTTTTATCAATGACATGTTTAATCTCATTTTATGCTCTCACTTTTGTGACTGAGATGCCGAGGATCACAAAAGAGATGTGAATAACCATGCAAACCTGTTTGACAACCTTGATGTTATTTACCATCTCACATTGATGTGTCGGTTAACCACACTCGATCCATCATCAATGATAATTTTCAAGATGTCCATCATATCTCTTTATAGTCCCCATTAGTGTGCCAGTTAACCACACATGTTCCACTAACGACATACAAAGCATGATGTGCGTTTTCATGGATTAGCATACTTTTCATATTTTTCTTAAAGTAACTATGAATGGGGTTTTTAAAATGGGTTGGTTACTTTATGTCATTATACTTATTAATTAGATTATGTCCTATCAATCCATTCGGCTAACGACCCTCCACCACACAGGAGAGCGGTCGGTGTGAGAGTAGACACCCATTCAATGACCATTTTATAGGTCACTTCCTTATACCATCTTTATAGCATGGTTTCGTAAAAAAAAGGCTACTATTGATTTGACTGACTTTTCTTATACATATAATATATTAAACTTTTAACAGTATACATATAAGGTGTATTTAATTTTTTTTTTTCTAAAATACTAGGTTTAAATTTAAATTTTCGAAATTAATACAAAATTAATTTAATTTTAAAACAAACCAATTTTGATTTAATATTTATCTTTTAGTTAAACAATTAATTAAATTAACTAAATCATTATGGATTAAATAATTATTTAGCATTAACCAATTAATAAAATAATTCAAATTTAATCCTAATCCCAAACCTTCTAATTTTTTAAAAAGGGCTAGGGTTTTACTAGGTTTTAATTGTTTAAATTTTAAGGTTTTTAAAATAACAAATAATGAAACAAGGCAAACCCTAAAAGGGATCCTTAAATTTCGAAAAATTAGGCAAGGGGGCTAGGGTTTCTAAAACCCTTGTAGATTTCAAAAATATAGGGCGGAGACTAGGGTTTCAGAACCCTATGGAAATTTTGAAATAACCTCCTTAGGATTTAGTTTCTATAAACCCTAATTTTGATCTATTCAACTTTGTGCAAGATCAATGAGAACAATGACCCTGATACCACTGATGGGTTTTATATGTTACAAAAAACTTATTTTGGCGAAAAAACATAAACCCTAAGTTCACTTGCACCCTAAAGGATCTGTGTTCTTACTATGATTTGCTAACAACTGTAGAATATCAAGAACTCTGAAAGTATGTTGCTATTTTCGAAATTAGTAAAGGGTTATTAGAAAATTCATACCTCGGTTTATTATAGCAAATAAACTAGTAATTCTTCCTTGTTGGTCTTCAGAAAGCAAGCACCAGAAGTCTCGTGCCTCTAATGACTCACACCCAAACCCTAGCAAGTTGGAGGCTAAAGATGATAGGGGATAGGGAATGAGAATGTTCGGTTCTCACTCTTGTAAAAGGGTTGGACGAAATTATGAACCCTTATAAGGGTTTATATATGTAACTAAGGGAACTAGGATAACACATGTTTCCTTAGATAAGTTTTATCCCCTTTCCTTGCTCCCTAAGGACTCCTAGGCTTCCTTATTGCCCAAGAAAACCCCTAAAGACCATCTAGAATTCGTTCCCCCTCCTAGGGAGGTTCTAGGATTAGTAAATGTTTAACTTTTGAACATTGTCACTTTTAGTCCTTCCACTTTTAATTAATCCAAATTAATCCTAAAATTAATTTCAATTAATTTCTGATTAATTCTTAATTAAATAATACTATTTATAATTAATATATTATTCTGTAATATATTAATAAATCATTTAATTTGATTTCTAATTAATTTATTAACTATATAATAAATTAATAAACCAGTCCCTCTTTCCAAAAAACATTCCAGTCAATTACTACGTTTAAGGACAATCCAAAAGACTTTGTTAATAATTCAAGATTATACTAATTTAGTTATTGTCATAGACACCTAATCCAACAGTATATTATTATTTATAGGTGTCATGCTTATTAGGTCATGTTTATATATTTATGTTTTTAAGGTGTTCGCCCTTACTCCTAATTTAATGGGATTTGACTAAACATTATTTAGATCGTTGATAGTACTGTTCCTTGTAATATGAGCTTCTATCCGGACAATCGCCTTCAACATCGGTTGTTCGGGCTTTTCCATCTAGCTCCAGGTGACCGGTAAAAGCGATCCTTCAAGAGAAACATAATTTTGAATATTTTTTAACGTCGTCCAAGTAATCCTTCAAACAAATGCATGCTTCCATTAATTCGACGAAGAGTCGTGACCTTCGTTTCGATATGACCATACCACGAAGAGGAAAAACATATTCTGAAGCTACCATATAAGTTTTGACGGTTAGTAAATCAAGAATCCAAAATTATGATGTTTTTTTCCGCGAAAATAAAATATAAGTTGTTAAATTTATTGGGCTAAAAAATTTGATGTCATTATTCTGGACTGTGCTTTGGGCAAGAAAGCGTAATAGTTGGGCCTTGTGAATGAAATTCAATAGAAGGCCAGCGATATGCTAATACCCTAAAACTCTAAAACCCTTTTCCTATCAGTATCCTTCAATTCTACCTGCGCAGGTGGGAATTAAGCCAAAAATACAGGTGATTTGCCAAAGGAGAGCTCAAGCGAGCTGCTACAATGGTGAAAATCTCAAGACCTACGAGTAACAATGACAGTGCCACTAAGAAGAAGAAGAATAAGAAGAAAATCAATCCTAACGCCATAGCCATGAAAGTCAAAGCTCCGGTAGCAAAACCTAACCCCTTTGAAACCATCTGGTCTCGTCGCAAATTTGATATCCTCGGCAAGAAACGCAAAGGAGAAGAACGCCGTATTGGCCTCGCTCGCTCCATCGCTATCGAAAAGGCAATAATCTCTCCCTCTCTCTAAACGCATAAACACGTTGCAGATTTTTTGTTGTTTCCATTTATGAATGATCCATTCTTAAAATTAAGTTGCTCATATCGAGTTGAAATTTGAAAAATACTAGGGCATAGTACTTTCAGAAATCAAAAATGGATTCTAATTTGAGATACTATCTTCGAAAGTGCAGAGAAAGAAAACATTGCTGAAGGATTACGAGCGGAGTGGTAAGTCATCGGTGTTTGTTGATAAGCGAATTGGGGAGCAAAATGAGGAGCTTGGTGAGTTTGATAAGGCTATCCTCAGATCTCAACGAGAAATGCGGGTAATTGTTTTTCTCAAGTGAAATTTCTTGTTTATTGATGAATTTCTCAGTATAGATCGATTATGTTTTTGCCATCTTTCTTACAGGTGAAACTTAGCAAGAAAAGCAAGTATAATCTATCTGATGGAGAAGAAGATGAGTTTGAGATTCAAGATGACAGATTGTATCCTGAAAGAGACGATTTTGAGGATGAAGTACCATTTGATGAGGAAGATGGAGATCCCACAGAGGCTGAGAGTAAGTTTGCCTTTGCTTACTTAAAATCAATTAGCAGTTTGTAACTATATGTTCACTTTTTAGGATAAGCAACAATGAATTTGCAACACAAGATATAATTTCACTGATTTAAAGTGATGAAACTTCATAACTTAGATTGGGACATCATATTTTTGTAGTGAAACATAAACAAAGAATTAGATTGAATGCAAAAGATTATCACTGTATGAAAGTCTGAAACCTTCTTCTAATCTTTTGATTGCTTTAAAACATAATTCTTTCTTTCTTTTCTGTTTTTACAGAAAGGTCTCTCATATTAAAGCAGCTTAGTGCCAATGGCACCCCTAGTGCTCATGGAACTGGAGTTGAAGGAGAAGAAAATGTAAACTTTAAACATAATTCTATCGATATTTTATAGTTCTTTTAATTTTTTTGGTTAATCAAGTGTCTTTGTTATTGCAGAGGCAAAAGACTAAAAAGGAGGTTTATGATGAGATAATATCAAAGAGCAAATTCTTCAAGGTGGGTGATTATATAACTAAATTATAGTCCATTTTATAATAGTTTGTACTAATTTATGTTCATAACATGGTTTTTAACTTTTTATTCTTCTATTACAGGCAGAGAAAGCTAAGGACAAGGAAGAAAATGACCAATTAATAAAAAAATTGGATGAACAATTTACATCTTTGTCCTCCAAATCCATATCTAACCAAATGAATGTTGTGAAGGATGTTACAAGCAAAAACATTATAAATATGAATTCTAGTAAAGTTGAAACTGATCAGGTATGCTTTTTTGTTCTTCTGTATTTTGTAGGCTTAGGTTTATTAATTTGAAATTAATTGATGATTTTCAGGGGCAAGATGATGATTATGATAAACTACTTAATGTCATGGTGCTGGATATGCGGGCCCGCCCATCAAATAGGACAAAAACTCCTGAAGAAATTGCACAAGAAGAAAAAGAAAGACTAGAAGAATTAGAGGTATTTTTATATATTTTTTTTCTCGACTTTTGTTACATCTTAGTTTAACATTTATGATTTCAGAAAGAAAGACAAAAAAGGATGAATGCTGTTGATGACACAAGTGATGATGATGATGATCATCATCATGATCATGATCATGATCATGATGATCATGAAAAGTCAACTGCCAAGAAGCTGACCTCTATTTCTGGTGATGATCTTGGAGATTCTTTTGCTGATGATGAACCAAAAACCAAGCTGGCATGGATCCAACAGATGTTAAGAAAAGAAAATGAAATTGATGATGATGATGATGATGATGAGGATGATGATGATGATGATGATGATGAGGATGATGATGATGATGGAGAGGGAGATGATCTGGCAAGTGAAATGCCACAATCATTAAAAGACTGGGAACAAAGTGATGATGATGATGATGATGATGATGATGATGATGATGAGGATGATAATGATGACGTGAAGTTGAATGTAAAAGTAAAACCAAAGGTGTCAAAAGTCAAACCTTCCGGAACATTACAAGTTGACCTTCCGTACACAATCGAAGCTCCAAAAACCATGGAAGAATTGTCATCATTGTTTGATAATCGATCCGATGATGACATCATCGAAGCCATTAGACGAATTCGTGCATTTAATGCAATCAAAGTGGCTGCAGAAAATCGAAAGAAAATCCAAGTATAATTTATTTGTTTTTATTCATTACTTTCATAAAAATGTTTTCTAACTTCACCCTTTTTCCCTTTCCTTTTCAGGTATTTTATGGGCTACTACTGCAGTATTTTTCAGTTTCAGCAAATAAAAAGCCATTAAATTTTAAATTATTAAATTTACTTGTGAAGCCATTAATTGAAATGAGCATAGAAATCCCATATTTTGCTGCTATATGTGCTCGTCCGAGACTACTTAGAACTCGATCACTTTTTGCAGAAGATATAAAAAATTCAGGTTTTTATTTTATACCAAAATTCTTGATTTGGATTTTTATATCAATATAACATTATTTTCTCTTACTTTTTTTTTGTAGAAAAAAGCAGTTGGCCTTCAATAAAAACATTATTCCTCTTGAGGCTATGGTCTATGATATTTCCTTGCTCAGATTTTCGGCATGTTGTTATGACTCCTGCAATATTGTTAATGTGTGAATATTTGACACGTTGTCCTATTCTTACTGGACGTGACGTGGCAATTGGCTCCTTTTTGTGCTCTATGCTTCTTTTTGTAAGTTCATTTCCAACCCCCTACTTTCTTGTTGCTGTTATTTTGGGTAAAGAATAAAGTGTATTGCTGATATTGGTAAAAAGATTAAAATGCCCCTGCTAATTTTGTAGGTCTGTAAGCAGTCAAAAAAGTTGTGCCCTGAAGCTTTAGTGTTTCTTCGGACTTTATTAATGGCAGCTTTAGACAAAAAGCCTGAACAATCTCAAGACTCAGAGGTCTGTTACAAGTTTCAACTGCCATATTTATACTTTATGAAAAACAATTAAAATTTTATATATATATTTTTTGTGGCTCACATTTTTTTTTTATTCTTTCAGTTTTATCACTTAATGGAATTAAAATCACCAAAGCCTCTGCTATCCATAAATGGCACTGTAGATGAAATAAAACCTCTCGATTTCATTACATTAATCAACTCACCAGATGACTCCCCTTATTTCAGTTCAAATAATTTCAGGTTTCTTACATTTTTGGTCCCTGAGTTTAGCTGATTTTTGCAGTTTTGGTCCTTATTTAATGTTTTTATTATATGCAGGGCGAGCATGCTAGTGGCAGTAATAGATAACATACAAGGATACACAAACATTTATCAAGAATTCAAATCATTCCCGGAAATATTCCTACCAATTTCCAAATTACTAAAAGAAGTATCGTCATCCCATAGTCAACATGGTCAAAGTGATGACGTGGCATTATTATTATTAAAAGATAAAATAAAATCAACTGTGGATTTGATAGAGACGAAAGCAAACGAACATTACGTGTCACGTCGACCTTTACAAATGCGGAAGCAAAAACCGGTTCCGATTAAATTACTCAATCCAAAGTTTGAAGAAAAGTAAGTTTTATTTATTTATTTTTTGATTTGTTTTTTGGTGTTTACTAAAATTGTTTTTTGTTTTTGTAGTTTTGTGAGTAATAGGGATTATGATCCGGATAGACAAAGGGCTGAAGATAGAAAATTGAAGAAGCTTGTGAAGAGGGAAGCAAAAGGGGCTGCACGTGAGTTGAGAAAAGATAATTACTTTTTGGCTGAAGTGAAGGCAAGAGATATGGCACGTGTGGAGGAAGAAAGGGCTAAGGAGTATGGAAGAACAAGAGCTTTTCTTCAAGAACAAGAACATGCCTTTAAATCCGGGCAACTTGGCAAGGGAAAGAAAAGGAGGAGGTGAAGTTTGGGTGTATTTTGAGAAATGTGATATGGAAAATATGTTACATGTGATGATTTTTTTGGTAGTTTTGATGTGTTAAAGATGTAATATGTGTATTCTTTTTGGGTAATGTGAGTTGAGCGTAGTTTTTTGTAGGCAAAAAGGAAATGTTATATTGGCTACTCATAATTTTTAACATGATTTTACGTTACATACGGTTTTATGTTTGCCTTGATCTAAAGGTTCATGAATAGGATTTATTGTGCTTAGTTATCGATTACTTAGTAAGTATAGGCAATCGTATTTTATTAGAAGTTGTCAAATTATTAATGGTCCTTTGATGCTAAATGAGATTATTGCATAACATAAGGAAAATAGGAAAAAAGTTCATGGTCTTCAAAGTTGGCTTATGATTTCTTAAGTTGGGACCATTTGGATGAGGTATTATAATAAATGGGTTCTTGCAATAAGTAGCATAGCTGGATTCGAGTGTGCCTCGGCTCATCAGTGGTGTCTATAGAGGAGTTGAAGCACCAAAAGGAGAATTTGCTGCCTTTCTAGTCAACAATAGAGGCATTCGTCCCTACAGTCATAAAATAACAACACCTAGCTCTAGCTCTATCTATTCACAAGGACTGGATTCTATAACTTTTTAACCAAAAAACTGAATCGGAACTGGTTAGTGGTATTTGGTTCTTTTGATTCCGATTCCGGACCGATTTACATCCCTAAAGTAAACTAGGTAATAACGGTTTGGTATTATGTTCCTTGGATAATGGTCTAACATCAATACTAGAAGTAATGAGTGTTTGGGATGAATTGAGACAATTGTTAGTGTCTTAAAATTTGAAAGGGATAATTACAAAATTGATCTTTGTAAAAATCAATTTATCCGCAAAGTTTCCACCAAATTCTAATGTTTTAATTGATTTATTATTTTTTTTCTAAAGAAGAGTCTCTCCTAATAAGGTGAATAACGTGTCCGGGTAAGCTAACGTGCACCATAAATAATCCTCCAGTGTGAACATGAGGTTATTCATAATGCACTGGAGTCATCACAAACAAACCTATATGGCCGCAGGAGCAAAAAGCAACAACCGAATAAAACTCTGGCAGATGGGATATCATCCACATATCCCATAACATTTCACCGGTAAACAACTACTCAAATAGTTTAATTAATTTATATGTTATTTGCATGTGCTGTTGTTTTCTAACAAGATATACCTGAAAATCATTTCTAAGAACCAAACTTTCATGTACTGTCTATCAAAAATTTCATATTACATTAATGAATGAATAACATTTTAATCTTTCTTAATTATCTTTTTTTTTAATTTAAAAAACGGAGAGTATGTTAGTTATAAAATTAAGATCTAGGGACAGGTGGCATGAACATTGGCTTTTTCTATTCAAACTACTTATTTATTTTATTGAAAATCTCAGAAAAACATAACGTATTTTCATCAAATGCTTAAAAAAATCATTATATAATTTTTTAATAGACTAAAAGCCTTATATTTTCTGAAATTCTTAATCAAGGTTTTCTGATCTAAGAAAAACCTAATTTATTTTCATAAAAGGATTAAAAAAACCATTATATTATTTTTTTTAGTACATTTAAACCCTCGTATTTTTTGAAATTTTTTAATCTAATGAATGTAACAATCAAAACGTTGAAAATCAATTACTTAGCATTTACGGCTATCTAGGATTCACCGAACTCAATGCTTTAAATGATACATTTTAAAAAATAAAAAGGTTTTAACGTACAAATAAATAATATAGTGGGTTTTTAAGACTTTTATGAAAATTTATTGGGTTTTTATAAGAATTTCCCTTTATTTTATAAAAATATACCTTGCGCCTTTTTTTCCTTTACTTTTTTAATATATTAATAGATAAATTTATGAATCTGATTTAATAAAACAATAGCACCTGTAAATATATTATAAATACACAAAACAGCCTAAGACAGGTTTAGAGAAAATAACTTGGACCCATGAAATTAGGATGATCTTTTATCTGTCTAATAATTAGAAATAAAAATATTTACTTAATTATCTAATATTAAAAGTAGTATTGTGGTAGTGGTTGAGCCAATTAAAAAGATGGGCTTTAGCACGTCAGCCTATTATATATGTAGTATGGACTGCATATAGCGAGCTTAGCTGGTCCAATTAAAAGAGACGGGGGCCCTGTTCTTCCCTCCGGTGGTCAATGGTCAAAAGTACTCATAAAATGATCTAATACAAATAAGTGGTATGAAGTGTGCATTTATACAAAACCGTTAGAATGATCAACCAAGATTTCCATAGACATATTGATTGTCTTTTACTTAAAAGTGATGTTTTAACATCAACTCATCTTAATTTACTACACAAGTGTGTTTGATGTGCTTATATTATTGTCACATGTAAAACATGTTTACATAGAAAAATGAAATTTGTATTCTTTTTACTTTTCAAGAAACCCTAAAACTAGTGAAGTTGAAAGGTCAACATCACACATGTAACTGTACTTTAGAAACAGTTATAGTTTGGTAGATATTACAACTGTTTGGAAAATCCATTATGGTTGAATTAGAACTAGCAACATCAACTAGATAATAAGAATCTTAGTATTATGACACTGGTAATATCAAAGGTACATTTCCTCAAAACAATCAATAGTCCAATCATATAATACAAAAAGAAATACTGTTTATCATCATTGTGATATACTTCATAATATAGCATCTTATTATTTTAACAAATGTAAGGGCTTTTATTAGTGTTACAATATTGAAATGGGGCCACATTATTGTTAAAATAATAATTACATGATTAACATGTAATTTGATAGGTCAAATAATGAACACAACTTTTTTATAAAAGAAAGTTGGGCGTGTCAAGAAACAAAGAAAGAAAGCCACTTGGCAAAACCCCACACTTCATGCCCTCACTATTTGACCACTTAAACTAGTGCTAATAAAACACGTGAAAGGAAAAAAAGATGACAATAACATTTTCATATATATATATATATATATATATATATATATATATATATATATATATATGTTGAACATAGAGACAAATATGATTACATGTCTAATTTATTCATGAAAATAAACAAGCACGTAAAGCCTAGAACCTACACATCAAAAAATAAAATCATACTTTATCATATGATTTGATTTTAATCCAAGTTGGATCTCCAAAGTATGTGTATAAAATAAAGATAAACATGTTTCATAAGTTTTCAATTCAATTGTTTTTGTACCTATCACCTTTAAGAAATCAAAGATAATGACTTTAATTTGATAATTTCGATTTTTTATGCAACCATTATCTCCACATTTAAAATGAATAATATGTTAACCATATGAATTTTCATTTCTTAGAGAGGTGGGTATGGGCAACGCTCCAAGGGGCGTTATTGGGTGTTATAACACGTGAACACCGTCCCTTTTCCCCGTTATCAGGCGTTATTAGTCTGTGCGTTACTCCCCATTACCACCATAACATTTTATAACGCCGTTTTTTTTTGTCTTTTTCCCAATAACGCCGGTGTGGGCGTTGCCCACACCTACCAATCTTATTGTATAAGTCATGTTTGTATGTTGAATATAGAAACAAATATGATTACATGTCTAATTTATTAATAATAACAAACAAACAAGTAAAACCAACAAATCAAAAAATAAAACCCTACTTTACCATTTGATTTGATTTTAATTCAAGTTGGGTCTCCAAAGTACTTTATAAACCAATGAAACATCGTGTTCCATGAGTTTTCAATTCGAATTGTGTTTGTACCTATCACCTTCAAGAAATCAAGATAATAACTTTACTTTCTTTAATTTTTAATATTTTTGTAACCATTATCTCCACATTTAAAATGAATAATATTTTAATCATACAATTTTGTTAATAAATTCCAATTTGTAATTGTAAAGAGAAAGTATGAAATCAAGAAAGATCTAGAACCATTTTCTTTCAAAGTCGCTACCCACTTTGAATATTCAATCACACCATTTTTCTTGTCAAAAAAGATTCTTGCTTTCCCATTTAAAATTCTAAACTGCCTCCAATCAAGGTAAACCAAGTCGACAGACTTTTCATAAATCCTGCTCTGATGTATTGTACGGTACAACCACTCCATGCACTACCTAGTCAATATCTAGTTCAAATCTAACTATAAACAATGTTCCTTAACATATCTTGTTTCTCAAATGGGGTTGCATCTTTGACTTTGACTCTAGGGTTCTTGAAATAGGAATAAAAACACAAGATTTCCACTCCAGGGTTCTTGAAATAGGAATAAAAACACAAAGATTTTAATTCTAGGGTTCTTGAAATAGGAATAAAAACACAAGATTTTGACTCTAGGGTTCTTGAAATAGGAATGAAAACACAAGAATTTGACTTATTTAAATAAGAATAAAAACACGAGATTTTCATTCAAGCCAAGTAGCCAACAACAATATAACATAAAATAAAAGTTAAGAATTATATTCACAAACAATACTACATTAATTTCCCGATTCAACGTTAGTTGGATCGTAAAAAGGAAAAGAAACGAGGGATATATACAGACGATATAGTTGTACCTCAATACTTAAGAGTACGACCTAACTAGGCCAAAATTAACAAAAGATTTAGACTTAAACAAGCCACCAAAAAGAAACCTAGTAGGAGATTCTTGAGGGCTTGTATTCGAATCTTGAGGATTGTTTTTCACTTTAAGCATTGTTTGACCGATTTCTTTCCTTATTGATTCAATAATCTTGGAGTCGACCGAATAGCCCGACGCATCACGAACGTAGAACGTGTTAATTGCTTTCCCGCCACGTGTCGCCACCTCAGCTCTTGTCACCGTGAGACTGTTTTCGCGGAAAATTCGAGTCACGTCAGATAAAAGTCCGACTCTGTCCGTTGTGCATAGTTCTAGCTTCAAACCCTAAAACAAAACATATAGCATTTAGCTGTTGGTTTTTTTACATAATTGTTAAACAAGAAATGGTTATGAACTATTTGAATTTGAGTAAATGAACATTTTACCCTTTAACCTTGAATTTAAGTAAATGACCATTTTACCCTTTTACTTAAAAATAGACAAGGGTTCTCAACATGAATAATTGACAATTTTCCGCGTTTCATACCTCAGACACTCTTCTTTCAATGGCTGCTTCGATACAT